TGCATCTGGGTCTTCTTGAAGCTAAGGTTGTGTTGGGCTGAGCGCAGGGCGGCCAGGACGCCGTGGCTCGCCTTGATCTGGTTGGCGTCGAGTTTGGCCTTGTTGGCCAAGGGGTTGTCGTCGCATTTGATCCAGCTCCTGCCTATATCTTGTACAGCAGGGGCAAGGGCATCCACCAGCACTTTGGTCTCACCAGAGAAGCGTGGCCTCGAGCCAATGTCGTCTGGCATCAATCCAGGTTCAGTTGGTAGCGGGGCGTGCGACACAGTGCTTGAGCATCCGCAGCTGATTTACAGGATGACGATGAGGGATGAGACAGAGGATCTCCACGTCCCCTCATATGAGGGAAGCGTGCGTGTGGCGTTATTCACTGTTACGTTTCCGTATCGTCGTCATCCTCGTCGTGGTCCGCCCCATTTTCGGTGCACCCCATCACGCGCTTCGTGGCCTCATAGGGAGCCCAAGCGAGGGCCCCAGTCGTGTGCGCGGCCCGCCCCATTTCGGCACACCGCCCACGCGTTTCGTGCCCCCATAGGGAGCTATCCCTGCTTCGTCCCGCCTGCCACGCGGTACTCGCGCATGCATATGGGTGGTGGGTCTTTCGCAAAGAAAATGTTTTTTTTTTTTGAATGCAATGGCGCAACGGTACTGTAGTGGAATTACTATCTTAATTTGCACAGCCGTGCCAAGTGACATATGTTACAAGACCGACATTTTTTAGAAGCAAACGCATGACGCAAACCATGGCTGTTGCGATCTATGATATTTATCAAGAAGTAGCTGCCCATTGGCTTGCAGCGCAAACACAGGCCGCCTTACATATGTAATTATCACTATATTCATCAGGCGCTTAAATTTAAGCCCCCGCGGACCTCAGGGGAGCTCGCGGAAGATCCGGCCGAGGAATGAGAAGTAGCCGCGGCCGAACTGCATCATGAAGGTGATCCGCCCGACGTCCGAGAGGAGGTCGTCATCGCGCACGCGCTCTGCGGTGAGGTGGCCCAGCGCGCGCCCGAGACAGTAGGAGCGCCGCGATGGCGACGTGCCGACGAGCCTGTCGGCCCCCCGCAGCTGCGCTCCGAGCGTCTCCCAATTGATGGCCCCCTCGGCAGACTTCTCCGGAGCCCGGCGGACGCCGGCGGCAGCGTTGGCAGCTCGGGCGGCGAGCTGCTCACCGCTGGGTTTGAACACGTACTGCTCCGCCTCCGTCTCCAAGACCACCTTGCCCTGGCACCAGTTATCTACGTAAACGGAAAACCAGTTCCGGGGCAGACCTGCGCTCGAGGGGGCACGGTGGCCCATGCGGACAAGGAGGTCAGCTGAGATGCCAGCCCCGCTCGGCGCCTTCCCGGTGACGAGGTTCTCGTGCGCCTCCTGGATGAACGCCGCGGCGTTGACCCAGCCCATGGGGCACGTCCGCAACCGCGGCCGCACCCAGGCGGAGCCAGGGAGCCCGAGGACCTCTCCAGGGACGGCCTCCTCGATGACGAAAGCACCCCTCCAGGCCCGCGGCACCCTGTAGAAATGGGAGCACCCGCTCTGGCCCTCCGAATAGTGGACCTGAATCTCGTCAGGGTGCAGAACAAGAAGGGGCCAAAGGCCCGGGTAGCCCATGGCCTTCGCAGCACCCCCATAATGCCGCTGCAGCGCGTTCGTCGGCACGAGGTTCACGATGAGCCGAAGTACCCGACGCCGACGATTACCTACTTGTTTCCAAGATCTGTGGACCCCAAAGAGCCCGTTCCGGACAGGGACGCCTCGATGCGTCCACGTCTCCTCCGGGACCTCGGCCTCCATGACGCCTAACTTGCACAATGCCTCCACTATCTTGTAGCACTCGGCCTTGGACTCTACGAGGACGCGAGCTTTCGGGAGCGGCTCCTGGACTTCGTCCTCGGGAAGCCCGAGGATGCTGGGGTCGAGGGGAACTTCGCGAGCAGGGCCACTCAGCAAGTCCGCGAGCTCCACCTGGGCAGCAACCTCGGGGCTGGGAAGCCCGGGCAAGATGCCGTCAAGCGTGAGCGGGAATGCGCGCGTCACCTGCTCTCCCCAATAGAGCTCCGACGCCCGCTGTTCAACGACGGCGGACGGGGCGAGGTTGACGGGGTCCCCCTCGTCTACCAGGATGGTGGCGAACCTCCGGAAACGGGCCAAGGCTTGCACCTGTGCCGGAGAAGGCTCCGCTGGGTACTTGAGGAGCTTCGCGAGGAGGCGCGGGCCCCCCAGGAACCCGTAGTTCGTGACCAGGGCGGTTAACTCGACCCAGGCGTCGATCCCGACCTCACGGCTCACGGGGGGAAGGGACTGGGAGGCTCCGCGGCAGCTCCGGATTGCCGCCAGCGCGGCAACGAGGCCAGTCGAGCGAGTCGGCCGCGGCACGGGCAGCAGCTCCCCGGGAACGGCCAAATCTTGCCACGCGCCGCATGGCCAAAGGCGGCTGAGTTCACCTAGGCCGCCGGGTCTGCCCTCGATGTGCTCCACGAGGACGGCCCCAAGCTGCGCGACCGATGCCCCGGTGGAGAGCTGCTCGGCTAACCGGCGCCGCGCCCCTCGCATGTCGAGAACTGGCTCGCTTGCGCCGCGTCCAAGGTCCAGGCGGTCTATGAGAGCCTTAGCCGTCTCAGCCTCAAGCCGTGAACCAACGCGGAGGCTTCGCCCGAGGAGCGCCTCCCGATCAAGGGCTTCGGCCCCAGGGTGACCGCCCCATTCAGCCCAGTACGATCGCGGGAGTCCGAGCGACGGGACGCCTCCTCCGACGTACACGGATCCGTCCGCCGAAGTCCGCGAACCGAGGTCACCGACGAGGATGTGCACCCCGGAGTGGACGCAGATCTCCCCATTCGCCGCCTCCTTATGCCCCCGCTGGCGCTTTTCCCCGAGTCCGGAGCGATCCTCCGCACCAACAGCGGCGCCTAGTAGCGGGGCCCTCGCGGGGGAGGCCGCCGCGGGCTGGGCCTCCTTCCTTTCCCTGCTTCGTGCCCCCCTTTTCCTTTTCCTTTGGGATCTCGTCCTGGCGGAGGCCGCCGGCGGCTCCTGCTCCTCGAACGGGTTCCCGATGAGCTCCGGCCGCGGCGCCGAGGCCGGGAGGGTGCGGCCCGCCTGTCCTGCTCCTCCTCGCGCCGCGCGTCCCGGAGGTCCCCCCTGTCGTACGTCCCGACGGTGTTCACGGGGATCAGCTCTAGCCAGCGCGCGTTCGTCCAGTTGCCCTCTTCGATGGACAGCTCGATCGCCTTGAACCTCTGCACGGCGATGTCGAGGGCCGTCAGAATCCTGCCCTGCAGGATGGCCTCGATGATGGCCGCGATGGTCTTCAGCTCGCGCGCATTCCGGAGGCCCACGGCGGCCTCCCCGGCCGGGCGAGCGCCGAAGAACGACGTGACGAGGTAGGCCCGGATGACGTTGTTGAGGAGGCCCCCCCCGAGGAGGTCCTCCGCCGCCACCCCGCGCATGTGGCCCTCCATGCGCCGGAGAGCCTGCTGCGCGAGGACCCCGGGGAACCTGGCCGCTACGACGTGCGTCGGGGGACGCCCTCGGTCGCGCTCCCCACGGCGGCCCTCCCCGGCCGCGTCGGGAACGGCCCAGAAGGCCGCCCCTGGATCTCCTCCACCCTCCGTGTCCGCGGCCGCCAGGATGCGCCCGACGAGCTCCTCGCGGAGCCGCCCCGTGAGAGCGGCTGCAGGCACCTCGCCTGGCGGCAGCGGCAGCGCGGGCCTTGCAAGGTTCATCCGCTCCCGGGCTGCGCGGAGGAGTCCACGTAGCTCGGCGGCACGCGGATCCTCGCCCGCCGCGCCTGCGGCAGGGGCGAGCGGATCGACCGGAGCGCCCCCAGGACCAGCACGCGGCGGCGCAGCGCTGGCCCCTGGTCCCGCAGCCGCCGGCTCCACGGGGGCCGCAGCGGCGCCTCCAGCTCCAGCAGCCCCCGCGGCCGCGTCGGGGACGGGAACACCGAGGGCGCCCGCAAGCGCCTGGAGCTCGTCCGCGAGCCCCGGATCTGCAAAGGGTGCCTGAGCCCCGGGGGGCCCAGGCGAACGTTGTGATGGCCGGCGGGCGGCAGCGCCTGGTGCAGCAGCAGGCCGGCGGCGGGCGGCCTGCGGCACGGCGGCAGCTGCCGGTCGCCGCATGCGCGACGACATCGTCGCGGTGCAACGCGGGGCGCCGCTGGCAGGCCCGCGACAACATGCCTATGTGCCGAAATGCCTGCGGGTACTATCACTCCGCACTAGCATCCGGGGCGTATTCATGTACATAAAAAAGATACCATCCTCGTCATCATCATCCCCACAATCGTGACCAACATTAACATTACCACTCAACAGCACCCTCGACAATTCAACCCATCATCAGTGTTTTCAGCATCATCCTCGTCCTCCTCCTCCTCCTCCACCTCCGCATCCTCCTCCTGACTCTCATGTTCCTGATCCGTCTCCTCTACAGCCCCTGAAAGCCGACCCATGTTCCTCCTCCTCCTGCTCTTTCTCATCCTCATTTTCCCGACCAACCATCCAACTCCTCCCGTATCCTTCCAACTCCTCCTCTTCCCTCCCTCTCTGCGGACAAAAGGAACAATACTTCTCCTCCTCATCCGTCTCCTCCCCCCCTCTTTCTCCTCCTCCTCCTCCTCCTCCTCCTGCTCCTCCTCCTCCTCCCCTTCCTCCTCCCCCTCCTGCTCCTCCTCCCAACTCCCGAACACCTCCGCTGGCAACATGACGCTGCGCACCACAATCAAAAACAACAGCCAGGAGACTAACATCTCCTCTTCCTCGGTGTCCTCCTGACTATCCTCCTAACTGCTCTCATCCATCCTCGTGGTCCTGCCTGCCCCCGCCTCCTCATTCCCCCCCACATGCACTCCCTCTTGTCTCCTCATCATCCTCCTCTTCTTCCTGCTCCTCACTCCCTCCTCCTCCTCCTCACACCCTCGACCTCCTCCTCCTCCTCCACCGACAACCTCCTCTTCCCTCCCAACCTCCACGCTGACCCCCTTCCTGCGCGCAAGGCTCCTATCCAGCAGCGTCGAGGCCAATGACACCGCGATCGACGACGATCGTGCGCGCGAGGGCGGTGTCAGCTGTCGGCTGGTCGACGACCTGGAGGACGAGGGTGGGGGGGTAGGGGAAAGAGAAGGAAGGAGGACGAGGAGGAAGAGGAGGATTGAGGCTTCGAGACTTCGAGGATCAAGGCCTAAGCAAGCCTTTGGCCTTTACGGTCGGCCTCGAGGTGCCCCTGTTGGTCTGGGTTGGATGCCTCCGGGAGGCTCCAGAGACCTCCGGAATGAGGAGGACTAGGAGGGCGGGGGGAGCGGGACGTCGATGAACGAGCCTGTTGCAATATTTGAGCCTCCTGCAGGGCCCTCGTCGCCACGATTATCCTGGCCAGAACGCGCTCGTGGAGAGATCGAGACGGCGGTGTGCTTTCATCAAGTTGCTTGTGGAGGTCCATTGCGAGCCTAAGGATGGTCGCCAAGGACGTGCTGAGGATGAATTCTCGCAGGGGTCAAGAATCATCGGGGGACCACATCACACAAGAATCATGGCGCCGGAAGGGAGTGGAGAACCCGCTGCCACGAGGCTTCTGCAGCAGGGGCGTCGAAGTGTGTCCCTGGGTCCTGGTGGTGTCTGGGGGCCTTGGGAGGAAAGAGGGGTTCTGAGGGGTTCTAGGGGATGGTGGCGAGAGTGAGGAGGCGAAGGGGGAGGGGAGATCAGGACGGTGGTGGAACGAGTTTGGGCTTGACTGCAGGGTCAGGAAGGATCCTCGGATTAGGCAGGATTTTGCTCAGAACGCGCTTGGGCTGGCAAGGACTTTGGGGTTAGGAAGGATGTAGAATAGAACACGCTTTGGTTGAGAAGGAGTTGGGTATTAGAAGCGATGTTCCAAAGAAGACGCGTGGGCTGGGAAGCATATTGGGGTTAGGCAGGGTTTTGAATCCCACCAGCCCTTTAGGACGGGAGTGGCTTAGCGTGCATCCTCATCCAACCTCCTCCTTCCCCTTCGGCAAGGGGGTGATCCCTCCCCCATCCCCCCCCCCTGGGTCTGGAAGGGGAGGGCGGAGGGTCGCTGGTGCGTCCGAAGCGGCCGCTGCGAGAAGTGGCAAAAATCATTGACGTTACCAAGGTGTTGGCCACATGTCAGACTGCGGGAGGGGGCAGGGCTCCCAAGAGTGCCCCAAGTGGGTCCTAAGAGGCGCCCAGCAAGCCCCCAAGAGGTCCCCAAGAAACTCCCAAGAGACCCCCCAGAGTCCCCAAATGGCTCCCCCGCGGCACCCAAGACGCTCAAAGAGGCCATTGGGACCGCCAAGAGGCTCCCTAGACGCCCTAAGAGAACTCCCAAAATCTCTCGAGACATCCGAAGCGACTCCGAGAGGCCTCCAAGAGGCCTCTGGCCTTTCTGCTCGCACTCCTCCTCCTCATCATCATCATCATCCTCCTCATCCTCATCCTTATCCTCATCCTCATCAGCATCACCATCATCATCGTCATCGTCGTCGTCATCATCATCATCATCATCATCATCAGCAGCAGCAGCATCAGCATCATCGTTAGCATCATCATCATCATCAGCAGCAGCAGCAGCAGCATCATCATCACCATCCTCATCCTCATCCTCATCCTCATCATCCTCCTATTCCTCATCCGCCTATTCCTCCTCCTCCCTCCTCCATCCCCCTCCCCCTCCCCAATCCCCCTCCCACTCCCCCTCCCCCTCCCACTCCTTCCCCTCCTCCTTCGATTACTCCTCCATCCTCCCCCATCTTGGGCTATGACGGCTTCCCCAACACTTTACTCAACTGCATGCTTCTCCACATCCCTGAACCGGGCAACCCGCATGGGCATGGTTTCTGGAATGGCTGGTGGGGTTACCCGTAGCGTCTAGAATTTCGAATACGTTTTTGGATGGTACTGCAGGGTTCTCCGAAGTTTTCGGAGGGATCATAGGAGGAGTGGTGTTTGGAAGAATGGGGAGGGGTAGAGGGAGGAGGTGAATATCCTCGACCAACATCATTGCACGAGTTTCTCATCCCCCTTTCTCCTTCCGATCCTCGACCACCACTCTTCCTCCTCTTCCTCCTCATCCTCCTCATCTTCGTCCATCTCCTTCCCTCGAGGAGGATGGGGCGGGGGGGCTAGAGGGGCTGACGAGGAGGAGGAGGGAGAGGAGGAAGCGAGGGGAAGGGAGAAGACGGAGCGGGGATGAAAGCGGAGGACGAGCAGTAGGAAGGCAGACGAGGACGAACAGGTATAGAATGTGAGGGATGAGGAAGAGGAGGAGGAGGAGGAGGAAGAGAAATTGATAAAGACGACGACGATGAAAATGACGACGACGACGACGAAATCAACGACAGCAAGAAGAACGACGCCGACGATGGCGGGGGCGGCGGCGGACCTCGTGCTCGTGTTCGCGACGATGTTGTCCAGCGTGAACGGCACCGGTGGCTGCGCCGCCGTTTTTCTCTGGGTGCTGGCGCGCGAGACCGGGCCGGGCGGAGGCCTCGTCGGGAAGAGTGCAGGGAGGAGAACGGAGTAACACCGCCAATAGCAACAAAAACAACGCCATCAACAGAAACAACAACAGCAGCAGCAACAACAACAACAACGATAATAACCACGACAACAACGACAAACACAATAACAACGACGACGACAACAACAACAACCACATCAACAACGACAACAACGACAACGACAACGCCATCAACAGCAGAGGCAACAACAGCAACAACAGCAACAACCACAACCACAACAACAGCAACAACAGCAGCACCAGCAACAACAATAACAACACCAACAACAACAGCAACAGCAACATGATAACAACAACGATGACAACAACGAGAACAACAACAACAACAACAACAACAACAACAACAACAACAACAACACCAACACCAACACCAACACCAACACCAACAAACAACAACAACAACAACAACAACAACAACAACAACAACAACAACAACAACAATAATAATAACAACAACGAAAACTACACCAACAACAGCAACAAGCACACCAACAACAACAACATCAGCAGCAACATCAACAGCAGCAGCTAGAACAACAGCAACAACAGCACCATCAACACCAAAAACAACAAAAGCAAGAAAAACAGCAGCCGCAGTCGCAGCTGTAGTAGCAGTAGCAGCAACAACAATATAACAACACCATTAACAACAACACTAACCACAACAATAACCACAACAACAACAACGACAACGACAACAACAACAACAACAACAACAGCAACACCAAGAGCAAGAACAACAACATGATCATATCCCACATTATCCTCCTCTTGCTCTCTTCCCCCGTCATCCTCCTGGCCCTGGTCCTTGGCAGGAAAGCAAGCAGAAGCCGCGCCCTCCTGGTTCAGCTCGAACACGCCCTTGTCGACCACGTCGGCCCACTCTGTGGTGCCTCTGGGAAGGGACCCGAGGACCCTGGTCATCGAATCGGCGGCGAGTCAAGAGGGGGGGGGGATGAGAGGCTGCAGGCCTTCTGAGAACGCTGCGGGGCTTCTCGGAAGCCCACGCGCCTGCTGAGAAGCCGCCCGTGGCCTCGGAGAACGCCCACAAGACTGCTGAAGAGCGTGAGGGCTTCCGAGAAGCCCCGCCGCCTTCTGACAAGGCCCGCCCCCTCCTCCTCCTCCCCTCCTCCTCCTCCTCCTCCTCCTCCTCCTCCTCCTCCTCCTCCTCCTCCACGTCGCGGCGTCGCGGCGCCGCGCGACGCCGCGACGCGCGGTCACCATCGCGCCCTCGCCGCCACCCCTCTGCAGAACAGCGGCTTCCTGGCCCAGGCAGCCCAGCGCACAGCCCGATTGCCCTCGCACCCTTGCGGGGTGGTCTGGAGGAAGGTGGTGGAGAGGGGAGGACAGAGCACGGATCTCGGAGAGTGAAAAGGCAGGACACGTGACGGAATGGATTTGGGAATGCATAAGAAGGCCAGGGAGGAGTGGTCAAACTGTTCGCAGACGTTCGGGACGCCTGGGAAAGGACTTCGAACGCTGTCGGGTGTGCTCGTGTCCGAGAGGGGGGAGGAATGGGATGCGAGGAATGGGGGAGGGAGATCAGGGATGCAGAGTGGGTAGGACAGGAACAGGTCTACGGGGAGCGTGAGGTAAGTGCGAGGGGAATGGAAGGATAAAAGTTGAAAGGCAATGGAGAAGAGTGATGAAGGACTGCAACGGAGAAGGACCAACAACAGGGAGGGCGAAATGATATCCTGCATGGGCAATGATCGAAGGAGTTACCAGGAGATGGATGGACGGGGAAGGGAGAGAATCGATGACGCGACGACTGAAAAGGATGAGGCTCAGAATTGAGGACGGGAGAGAGGGGAAGGATCGAGATGAATATCGCGACCAGGAAGAAGGAGAAGCGGCAGCATGCAGGAGAACTATGTGAGGGAGGGGAAGAGGAAGCAGACTGTATAAAAGAAAGCATAGTGAACAATCTTAATGAGAGTGTCCATGAATAGCTCGAGGACAAGACGATAATACATAGAGAGTATTAGGTAGCGCTGAAGGCCAAGGCGTGATCCAGGCAGCGTGTCAGAACGGGCCATTACTTCCCAGAGTTAGATCACGAGGCGCACCGCTGGGACCTGGGCGGATCTTGGAAGAAACATTGAACATTGTCAAAACACATCGGAAAATAAACCAAAGAGCTCGAAACATCGTCACCAGACTATTGTTTCACTCTTCTTGAATCTTCCTCCTGTAGAGGGACATGCCCGACTTATCAGCGGTGGACAAACCTCCCTTCAGTAAACTTCCCCTTCGTGAAAACGGCCCAGGACAGAAACCGACGGACCTGGACCCACAAAAGTCGCGGCCGCGACGCCCTCTCGCGAACGGAAGACGGCCAGTTCGCGAATCGACGTGTCAGGGTAGGAGGCCCATCAACCTCCGAACTTCCTGCACCGTGCTCCTCGCGCGGGGGGGGTGGGAGAGAGACCCGGGAGAGGCAGCCGGTGCCGCGGCCGGGGCGGGAGAGGGCGGGACGGCGGGCGCCCTGCTGCTTGCCCACGGAAATGACCGCGTAGATCCGGATGCTGTGGGCCCGCCCGAGCACCTCGGGGTCGGAGCTCCCGTCGCACTTTTAAGGACCACATCCGAGAAATAACTTCGAGCACCCGGAGAAGT